GTCCCACCCAATCATTTTATGGGAGTTACAAGACCATGGCCAAAAAGGTCATCTACAAAGAGAAACCCATTGTGCTACAGAGTAAAGGTGAATTTGGAAGGAGAACAACAAAACTAAATATATGTAAATACACACAAAATACACCCAATAAACAATAAATAAATAAAAATGTATAGGTTTATTTTCTGCTAAGGTAGACTGTGCAAAAGCCACAAAACCTCCAACAGATACTCTTATCCACATATGAATTCAGAAAATGATTACAGGTGAAGTCTATTTTCTTGGATTTTACTCCTTTATACATGGGTAAGTAGAAATTTTGAGAATATGAAATCTTAAACATATGTTTTAAAAAACTCATATAAAACCCATACTAAATGATGTTAAAATAATACAAAATAAGTTATAATGAAAATCAAAAGCTCCTCACCAACATTTCTAGACTCTAGTCTTAACCCTCTGAGTTAAACACTCTTATTATTTAAAATACATCTTCTGATTGTTTGCTTCAGCATTTTTTACTAATATGTATCATTATTCTTTGATTTGTCAAGTTTAGTCATGTGTTATCTTCTTCCTCCAACGATTTAGGATTTAGATCATTTATGATACCATCTCCACCTTGCATCCATATTTCTTTCAAAATAGTCATATAATCTTTTTAGTCCATTATCAATGGAGAATCAATTTGAGTCATTACATATCCACAATATCTGTTATCAGCCTTCATTAATGTATGAAATATCCCTTGCTATGGAATTGTAAACTAAAATAAATACATTTCCAGAACTTTGAAAGCATCATTTTATTCTCTTATGTCTCATTCTTAAGCCAAATGCGAATGTATTCATTGTTCCTCTGTAGTTATCTTTTGGGAGCTCTAGTAGCATAGTGTCTAAGGCATCTGAATGCTATCCAGAAGGCTGGAGGTTAAAATCCACCAGCCACTCCTCGGAAGAAAGGTTAGGCAATCTACTTCTGTAGTGATACCTCCTCGGAAACTCAAGGAGGGGTCACTATGAGTCAGATCTGACTCAATGGCAGTGGGTTTGTTTTGGGTTATAGCTATATTTTATTTTATTTTTCTTCTCCAGAATTTTACAAAATGTTGTTTTCTTCCTCAGTTTTCCAAAGGTACATGTTTAAGTAGTGACACCTCTCTGCCATAGGCTGAGTAATTGCTAGGTATTTGTGATTGGAAAACTCAAATCTTTCAGCTACAGAATATTCTTGTGCATGTGAAGATGTGTTCTCATTTCTTCTCTACTCTTCTTTCTTGTTTTCTTTTTAATCAAATGATGGAAGTTTGTATTGATCCTTGTATCTATTCTCTATTTCCAGTCTCTGTCTTTTTGCTCTGCTTTCTTGAAATTTTCTCTATTTTGCATTTCTACCCTCATTTAGATATTTTTATTTGTTGTTGTTGTTAGGTGCCATCGAGTCAGCTCTAACTCATAATGACCCTATGCACAACATAATGAAACACAGCCCAGTCCTATGCCAGCCCCGTAATCCTTGCTATACTTGAGCTATTTAAATCATGCAGCATCCCCTTGTTCTGTTCGAATGACAGCCTCCTGGCTTATGCACAGTTTCCTCATGAGCACAATTAAGTGTTCTAGAACTCCCATTTTTCTCAATTTTATCCATAATATGTTATGATCCACAAAATCAAATGCTTTTGCGTAATCAATAAATCACAAGTAAACATATTTCTGGTATTCTTTGCTTTCAGCCAAGACCCATCTGACATCAGTAATGAAATCTCTCTTTCCACATCCTCTTCTGAATCCAATTTCCTTTCTGAAAGTTCTGAGTCAATATATTGTTGAAACCATTTTTTGAATTATTCACTAAGATTTTACTTGCGTATGATATTAATGATTTTGTTAGATAATTTTCACATTCAGTAGGATCACCTTTCTTTGCAATGGGTACAAATATGGATCTATTCCAGTCAGTTGGCCAAGTACTTGTCTTCCAAATTTCTAGATATACATGAGTAAGCGCCTCGAGTGCAGCATCCATTTGGTGAAACATCTCAATGGGTATTTTGTCAATTCTTGGAGCCTTATTTTTCACCAACTCCTTCAGCGCAGCTTTAACTTCTTCCTTCAACACCAATGGTTCTTGATCATATGCCACCTCCTGAAATGGAGGAGCATCAATCAATTATTTTTGTTACAGTGACTCTGTATTCCTTCCATCTTCTTTTGATGTTTTCTGCATCGTTCAATATCTTGCCCATAGTATCTTTCAATATTGCAACTCAAGCCTTGACTTTTTTCTTCAGTTCTTTCATCTTGAGAAATGTTGAGCATGCTCTTCCTTTTTGGTTTTCTAATTCTTTGCACATTTCATTATAATAACTGATTTTGTCTTCTTGAGCTGTTCTTTGAAATCTTCTGTTTAGCTCTTTTATCTTGCCATGTCTTCCATTTGTTTTACCTATTCTCCATTCAAAAGCAATTTTTAGAGTTTCTTCTGACATCCATTTTGGTCTTTTCTCCTTTTCCTGTCTTTTTAATGACATTTTGCTTTCTTCATGGATGATGTTCTTGATGTGATCCCACAATTCCTCTGGTTTTCGGTCATTGATGTTTATGGTGTCAAATCTATTCCTTAGATGGTCTCTAAATTCAGGAGAGATATAATCAAGGTCATGTTTTGGCTCTCATGGACTTGTTTTAATTGTCTTCAGCTACAATTGGAACTTGCATATGAGCAGTTGATGGTCTATTCCACAGTCATCCCCCTTTTGTTCAGGATTCTTCTATAAAATCTTAGATCATAATGTTCAGTAATGGTAGCTGCCCACCATCTAGTACTTATGGTCTCAGAGCAAAGGAGGCAGTTGTTTATGGAGGAAATTAGCCACACATTCCATATCCTCTTCCTATTCCTGACTCTCCTTTTTTCTCTGTTGTTCCAGGTGAACAGTGACCAACTGTCCCTTGAATGCCAATTGCAAGGTTTCAAAACTCCAGGTACTACACAATGAGCTAGGAGTTAGAACAGAAGCACTAAACATGTTATTAGCTCAATTAACTGAGATGTACCATGGAACTATAACCCTAAACCTCCAAATCAAGGAATTAAATTCCATGAAGTGTTTGGTTGTCCATAAGCAGTCTCATCAGTTATTTGTTTTTTGATAAAAGTATCTATAAAATAATTTTTGCCAACTCAATGTTTTACAGGTGTTCAACTTATTGACAGCAATTATAATAATCAATTGTGCAATCCTATCCTTAATCAATGTGATTTTTTTTCTTCACCTTTAATCCCTCTCTTCTCCCTCCATAACAATCCTGGTAACAACCAATAAACTTTGATCTCTAGACATTTTCTTATCTTTTTATATAAGTGAGTTCATAAAATATTTGACTTTTTGTGATAGGCTTATTTTGCTTTGCATGATGTCTTCAAACTCCATCCATATTGCAGCATGTGTCAAGGCTTCATTTCTCCTTCTACCTGAATAGTATGTCTGTGTGTGTGTGTGTATACACACACACCACATTTTGTTTATTTATTCATCTGTTAATGGGAATTTAGGTTGTTTCCACCTTTTCACTATTGTGAATAATGCTGCAATGAACATAGATGTACAGTTTCTTTCTGAGTCTCTGCTTTCAAGTGTTTTAGGTGTATGCCAGGAGTAGAATGGTTGGATCATATAATGTTTTTTTTTTTTATTTTTTGAGGAACTGTCACACTGTTTCCATAATAGCTGTATCATTTTGCATTCCTACAAGTAATTTACCCACATCTTCACCAACATTTGTTGTTTCCTGTTTTTGTTTGTTTGTTTGTTTTTATTTTAGTCCTTCCAGTGAGAGTTAACTGGTATGTAATTGTGGTTTTGATTTGTCTCTCTGATGACTGATGACTCTAAGCATTTTTTCATGTGTTTGGTGTCCATTTTAATGTCTTCTTTGTGAAATGTCTATTAAAATCCTTTGCCCATTTTATGATTGGTATTTGTCTTTGTTGTTAGGTTCTCAAAGTGTTATATACATTTTGGTTATTAGATTATTGTTGGATATACAGTTTCTGAAGGTGTTCTTCCAATCAGTTGCTTGTCTTTTCATTTTTTTAATAAAATATTTTGATGAACTCAAAGTTTTTCATTTTCATGAGGTCCTGTTTATTTACTTTGTCTTTTGCTTTTTGTGCTTTTATTATTATATTAGATAATCCATGGTTGAAACTAGTCCTTTCAACATTCCCTGATTGTTCTTCTAAAAATTTTATGGATTTAGTTTGCACATTTATGTCTTTAATCCATTTTGATTTTTTTTTTTTTTCTTTTCTTGTTTTGGTATGGTTGTAGACAGATACTTTCTAATTTACTTGTTATCAATCTAACTGGGGTCAATGATGAGGATAGAGAGTATTGTAAATGATCAAAGTACTATTTGACACTCAAAAATCACCCTGAAGTATTTTAATTAGTAAGAATACTAACTAAAATAAACACTGCTCAATCTAAAAGTGAAGGTAATTTTAAATTGTTATTAATTGACTATTTTGCATGTCATTTATTTTACACTTTATATTTTACATTTCAGGAAGGAAATTGAGGCTCTGAAATATTTCATAATTTCATCAAATTCAGAGCGGTACTAACAAAATTCAGTTTTGTTAGTACATCTTTCTACCAATGAGAAGCACATCTTTCTACCATTCCAAAGTGCTACACATCTATCATCCTTGGAAAATATCACTGTGTTCCTCAACAAGGATGGTTTTACCATCCCACAGAACATTTGGCAACTTCTAGAGATATTTTTAATTGTCACAAACAGGGGAAGGTGTTGCTAAACATCCTACAATATACAGGGCAATCTTCCGCAACAAAGAATTATCCATGCCAAATGTGAATAGTGCCACAGTTGAGATTATCTGGCATAAAGGGTTTTCATAGAAATTAGCAATGCCTAGCAACAAAGTGCATTCTCAACAAGTTTATAGCAATTTTTGTGTTTTTTGAGGAAATGGTGGGAAGGTTGGAACCTTCAAATGCAGAGCTTGCAGGAGCCATGGAAGGATCTGAAGAGGGTGGAGGGGAGGCCAAGTACTCAAAGAAAATTGAAGACTTGATGGAAATGGTGAAAAAGGTACAGAAAGGAAGCATGGTACCTCGGGTTGAGGACCTGATTAACCGTACTAATGAAGTTTAAGAAGCCAAAAAGAAAGCCAGTGAGGACCTGGGAGAGGCCCAGACACTCTGGGAGGCTCTGCAGAAGGAACCGGATTCCACGAATAGAGAGAAGGTGTGCCTGAAGGAGATCTTGAACAAAACGAAAGAGGCACTGAGCATCCTGCATCTGCACTACCAGGAGAAAGACAGTGAAGCACAGAGGAAGCACACCATGTTGCAGGAGTGCAAGGACCAAATTTCTGCCTGGAACTCCCAAATTGAGGAAGAGAAGAACAAACAGAGGCAGCTGAGGCTGGATTTTGAGCAACAGCTGGAGGATCTGATAGGCCAGCACAAAGACTTCTGGGAGTTCCATAGGCCAGAGCGGCTGGCACTGGAGATAGGGACCCTGGACAGCAGTAAGGAGCAGCTGCTCAAGGAAGAAAAGCTGATCCAGGCAAAGATGGAGGATGTGAACCATTGGCTGCATTCCCTGTGTGGGGCTGAGGGTCCTTTGACCATCAGTGAGGGTCTCTTCCTGTGTGAGGAGGAAAAAAGCAAGGCTGAGGAGATCCTGAAGGCTGCAGCCCAGAAGCAGCAACAGCTGCAGAAATGCCAGCAGCGGCACGAGAAGTGCCAGAGGCTGAAGGAGGACTAGAAAAGCGTGAAGTATGGGTTGCTGCCTAAGCCCACAAGGCCCAAGAAGAAGGGGCCATCCCTGGAGAGGCACACCACCTCCTACAGACCAGTAACAAGCCCCTTAAGGTCCATGAGGAGAAAGATCTGGAGCAATCCACTAACTAGGGCTCAACCCAAGTCTATGAACCTCCCCATGGACCCCTGCACCCCCTACTCCCCATACGACCTTATTCCATGGGGCCACAGGAAAAAAAAGTGCTAATTTCATTAAAAAAAATAAAAATCACTGTAAACATGATTCTGTAAACATATGAATAACATTGTTACTATAAAGTTGCCTTTTAAAAAAATCATGGTAAGGGCCCAGATTCTTTGAAAATGGTACATAATATGAAAAATTGTGGAGTTATAGTTGACCTAAATCATATGAGCAAATTCTATCAATGTTCTACCTTTAAATATGATCTTGTTATTTGATGATGCTAAATATGCCAGGGGCTGTGCAAATGAATGTCTAAGGAAAGACCTTGTGCTATTACATTAATGTTGGATCTTAAGAAAGCTAATCAAGAGTAACCACACTCTTGCTGGTTTAGAGATGGGGAAAAATAACTAGAAATATAGCATATTTCCTTCTCTCCTCTGATGCCATGTTGGGTGCCATGCATTGACTTCAATATGTATTTAGCCTGTATGACAGAGTAAAACTGCCTCATAGGGTTCCTTAGGTTTTAATCTTTACAAAAGCAGATTGCCAGATCTTTCTCCCACAGAGCCACATGGTGGGTTCTAACCACAACCTTACAGTTAGCAACTGTGTGCTTAACAGTTGCACCACAAGGGCTCCTATTGTTGCTGTTGTGTGTGTTCTGAACTGTATTCTGACTTACACTGACTGTCTAGGACAAAGTAGACATGCCCCATAGAGTTTCCTAGGCTGTAATCTTTATGGAAGCTGATCACAAAGTCTTTTCTCCAGCAGAGCAACTGGTGGGTTCCAACTACCAATCTCTCAGTTAACACCAGGGCACTTAACCATTGTGCCACCAAGGCCTTTTGGGCTCCTCATAAGCTAAAAATCAAACTCACAGCCATCACTTCAGTTGTGACTCATTGTGACCACCCCCCCCCCCATTGGCTTTCCAAGGCTATAAATCTGTCAGAAGTAGATTGCGTCATCTTCCTCCCATGGAGCAGCTGATGAGTTTTAAGCACTGACCTGGTTAACAGCCAAATGTCTTACTCACTATACCACCAGAACACTTTTGCGCTCCTCATAGGAGAATCTAAATCTTCCAGAATATATCAACTTAACCATTATCCTTTTCATTCATTCTGTAGCAAATGTTCCAATCCCTATCATTTGTTTTACAGTTCACCGTTTAACCCAGAGCTGATATTTGCCTGCCTGGTATTTTCTCACCCTAGCTAGAAAGCTGGCCTCCTAAAGAAGTCATTCCTACTCTAACAAGAGCAGCTGCTACATCCCCCAAGTTGTTCATCTGGCAGAGCTGTTGGGCTGTTCATAGCAGTTCAGCAAATGTTCATTCCACACTGCTGAGTTATGAAGGGAAAAAAGAAACAAAATCCCACATTGTTTAGCAGAGAATTGACAAAAATAGCTATCTTAATTGCCCCATCTTCCTTCCAAGGAGTAGCTGGTGGGTTTGAACCTCCAGTCTTCTGGTTAGAAGTCAAATGCCTTACCAAAACTTCTGTGCACTGTTTATAAGAAATCAGAATCATGGAAACATGGAAGATGGGAGCTACAAAAGGCTATGGTTCTATGTGCTTAGTGTGGTGCAAAGTAGTTGAGTGACCCACCACACCAGATATGGACAAAAGAAAATTAATTATTCTTTCAGGCATATAAAGAACATATTAATTCATATTGAAAAACATAGAGAAAAACTAAAGATATAGATTAATTATGTGAAAATTTAAAATCTATGAGATGACAATTTTAAATGAAAATACACAGAATAAATATATTATGAGGGCTTTTAGTCATTCACATGTCATTTTGATTTAATTTAAATCTTGTGTTATATTTTATCTTAGCCCTCTGCTCCCTTCCTCCTCAATCAAGAAAGATAAATGAAGCTGAGGAAAAAAGTATTCACTGGTGTGGGTGAGGCAGTGACTGAAGAAGCTATTGCTGTCTTAGCATATCAGCAATAAGAGAGCAGCATATTGCAAAAGTATCCTTTGGGACAAGAAGAAAGGCAGTAGGAAGTTAGTAAGGGGTAGAGACATGGTATGTCAGAAGGAAAACCAAATCAAAACAAAACTGGTTATAAATATCTCTAAAATGAATCCTTAATGTTTTTTGTTTCCTCAGACATGAAAGACTTCTCTAATTCCTAACTAACTATTTTCATTACTCCACGGCTGGGGGGGAAGCACAATTCCTTAAAAGTAATTTAAGGGCAGATTAAATCTGAAAATGCAGTCTCATTTTGACATCTGGAACTAAGCCAAAGAATTGCTTCCTCAGAAGGATAAATGTAACAGTATTACCACATGCATAGAATACCATATCTCTATTTATTAATTTTAATATGTATACTAAGATTTGAAAATATAAATTTATCATTCTGAGAAATATTTTTGGGACAGCAAATAAATGGATATTTCCATTAAGACTAACTTTTGTGAAAAGTATCTATCACTACCTAAAGTCAGGTCAATAACAGCTCTGTTTTACAGTCACTATTAAAAAAAGAAGAAGAAAAGGAAAAAATATGCTGAAGGTGAAAAGCTAAGAATCATGGGAAGAGTCACATCTGTCCTGAACAGATGGAATGCAAGATGATTGATAAAGGAAAAACTATATAAACGACACTTAAACAGCAATAAAAAAGACAGGTATAGTATAAAGTAGAATCAGAGAAAACAAACATTAGCATCAAAAACATATATATACTGGAAGTAATTAAACTTCTTTGAAATAAGCCTGCTCTAGGAAATTAGAAGACATTTTTCTTTTCAGTTTATTGGCCATCATTACAAAGTCATGCTCCTTAATTTGACATCTTTTGTAAAGAAACCATATAATTGACACAAATAGACAGCTAGATAGATATATGCCTGTGTATATGTGTGTATATAACTATTTCAAAATCTATATCTGGTGTATGTATACACACACACATACACACACTTCAAGAATTTAATTTACAGCCCCATATAATAATACACCTACTTCTCACTTATCATCTATCTCATTATTTGACACTTCACACTCATGACATTAGTAAAAAAACCTACTATGAGACTATTTTTTTGCATTTACAATATTTGTCAGTAATAAATGCTGACTATGAGGCGAGAGTAATACTGGCTGTGATGGTTAAGGTTATGTGTCAGCTTGGCTGGGGGCCATGATTCTCAGTGATTTGGCCATTATGTAACGATGCAGTCATCCTTCACTTTGTGGCCATCTTCCACTTTTCTGTAATGCTCATTTCCACATAACAGCCTGGTCTTTAGAACCTAATCATGTCGATAAATGAAGAGTGGGTATACCTTTTATGCTTAAATATATCATATTCAATATTTTGTATTTTCCCAAGTGAGATATTGTACATAAATGAATCTCTTCATCCTACATAATTTTATAAGGATAAGTGTTTTTCTTCTTTTCAGCTCTCTACTTCTATAGATTTAATATCAATATATCCCACAAATTTATTTCAGTTGCAAAAATTCTCTGAGTGGATAGAACTGGGGAAAAAACCTGAATTTTTACTTTTCATGATATATTTGACTCCTTCAGACCTGTTGTAGAACTCTTCTTTTAAAAAAATAATGGTTCTTAACATAGCTTATATGGACCCAAGAATGAGTTTCAAGTTGTTGATGATACCTATGATCCCTAACGTCAAATTGTGTTGATAGATATTTATTAAAAATTATAGGGGAAATATCTCTGTCTTCAATCAGATTCTTAAATGTCTGAATTAAAAAGAGATTAAATTATCTACCTTGCAGGCATGACCTACATACCTATACCTCAGAGATCCAGTTCCAGTGAAGCCCATTTTCTGCTGAAGTAAAAGGTTATAGAGAGATCACCATACTTTTATTCTAGCCCAAAGCTGCCCATTTACAAGTGGCTGCATAAGGCACTTTACCTACCAAAACTTCTGCTTCTTCATTTGAAAATGAATAGTTGGAACTAGAAACATTTCTGAGCTCTGGTAGCATAGTGCCTAAGGCACTTTACTGCTAATCTGAAGGCTGGCGGTTCAAACCCACCAGCCACTCCTCAGAAGGAAGGTTGGGCAATCTACTTCTGTGGTGATACCGCCTCAGAAACTCAAGAAGGGGTCGCTATAAATCGGGTCCGACTCCACTGCACATAACAACAACAACAACGTGAGTCAGAACTGATTCAATGACAATGGGTTTTTTGTTTGCTTGTTTTTAAATATAGTTCTAATTACTCTCCTCTCTGGACTTTTCTCCTCTTAATGCATTTGTTGTTGTTTTGTTGTTATATGCCAGTCGAGTCGGCCATTAGGGACACTTAACTCATGAAACAGATTTTAATGTGCCTATAAAGCACAAGATTTAAAAGTCTCCTACTTGGGAGAAAATGTTAATAGAAATGTTGTTGACTGGTATATTGAGTTGTTCAGTAATTTATAGTCCCAGATATCTTAAGTTTTTATGAATAATGCCAAAATGTTCAAGCCTGTGGGGGCTCAGGAAATTACTAGCATTTCAAATCTCATTTAAGAGAGACGTATCTCATGCCCAGAGAGTGCTTGTTAGGTGGCACTAATCCTCTATGCTTAGTGTGCATAATTTAATTAGAAATTTAATATGAGCTTTTGATTTCATTTTCAAGATGGCCAGTTAAGCATTGTCTGCAACTTGCCCTTTTGGCACTAAATCTCTGGAAAGATATGTATGAATAAATGAAGAGTGGAGCTTGACAATAAGAGGATACACCTTCATAACTAGAAACCCTGAGGAATATTTGAAAGAAGGACATTAGAGATTTAAATTGAATATTATTTTTCATTTTAAGTTCTAGTTTC